CTCATACGCCTGTCTTGTCTCTAGCGTTCCTCCTGACGGGACTCTTGCCCATTGCTGGTAATTCCGCACGATTTCTGCCGCTCTCTCAACATGTACTACTTATATCCATTCTTATCAGCAACGCCCACTACGCTTGCCCCACGTCGAAATTTCGCGCTTGCAACCCTGTTGACCATCTTGGTGCTGTTTCCTCCTGGTGCTCAGGCAAAGTTTTGTCTTTTTCCCATCACTTCCACTTTCGAAGTAGGCTGGCTTTTACTCCCTTCTTCGTCCCTTTTTTGATGGCATAAACTGGACCACGTGTCCAGATAATGATGCGTGGTCCATCCCACTTTGGGAGTAGTTTCCGTCTGCCATATTCACCTTCTGACGTATATCCCCGTTCTTTTCACCTCACCTGATCTCCAACCTCAAATGGTTTCCACTTACTTCCTTAACTTTTCTCAGATTCTTCGGCGTCAGCTTTCTGCTTCTGTTCCACGTTCCTGATAGCCTGTTTCCGCTCCTCTCTCAATCTAGCCATGTTCCATGGCTTTTGTCAAAGCCAGGTCTTAGTATGTATCGGGGGCCCTAGTTTCCTGCCATACGTTAACTGGAACGATGACTTCTTGGTCGTTCCTTGTGCCGAGGCACGATTAGCCGATAATATTAACTGCAGTTATGTCTCCCAATTCCCTCCCTTCCAAGCTAGCCACTTCTCAAGCGTACGGTTATTCCGTTCTGTCAAACCGTTAGTCTGCGGGTGGTACGGCGTCGTTCTTATCCTCTTGATAGCAAGCTGCTGCAGGCGGGATTTGAATTCTTCACCCTCAAAACAAGGACTTTGGTCGGTCAGTGTCATCTTCGGCACACCGTGAAATGTGACAGTGTGACGTATCCCGGCTGCAGTCACTGTCTTTGCGCTTTGATCCGGATTACGACAGCGTCTACTCATCGTGTAGCATACTCTGCTATTACCAACAGGTACTGGTTACCACTGAATGTCTGCGGAAATGGCCTCATTACGTCCACAAACCACAAGTCACCAACTGCTTCTAATGGAATCGACTGAAGCGGTGGTCGTGCGTACCCATCACCTTTCATCAGTTGACAATGAGGACAACCTAGCAGACGTGTTTTGAAACATCTCTCATACCTGGCTAGTATGCGCTTTGTCTGAGAAGGTCAGCTGTCCGTGAGACACCCGTATGAGCTCACTGGTGGCATTCTTGTATCATTTTGTCACGTAGAGATTTCAGAATCACTGCCAGTCGGCCCCCGTCATTTTCTCGCCACGTCAGCATTCCATAAGTATTCATCCGTGGGCGTTCTTTCTATGTCAACAAATTTCTCAGCTCTTTATTTTCCACAGAAGTCTGCGTCTCCACTCCTTGAGTTATGGCTTCCATCGCTTCTTTAAGTGTAGGGTCCGACTCCTGAGGATGAATAAGTCTTAGTGGGTCCCGTTCCACTGCATGTAAACCGCATGCGATCCCCGGTAGTTCATTTTCTTCATCTGATCTTGACAGGAAGTCTGCCAACCAGTTTTCTTTCCCTGCTACAAGGCCGATTGTGAAATCGTACTCTTGCAGTCGTAATATCCAACGCAATAATTTTCCTCTGGGGTGTCCCGCTGTCTTTAGGGGTTTGTGGTCAGTTTCAGCATGGAATAGCTGACCGAGGAGGTACGATCTCCATTTCTCAAGTGCCAAACTATCGCCAGACATTCCTTTTCAACCGCGGAATATTTCAGTTCCGTAGGTGTCAGAACACGGCTGGCATACTCCACTACTCCTTCAGTCTGTCTCAGAACTGCACCTATTCCAAAATCGCTTGCATCGGTGGATACGACGAATGGCCTCCCGGCTATTAGTATTTTTAAAGTCATTTCCTGGCCATTCAGGAGTTCCTCAATGTGATCAAACGTTTTCTGTGCCTCCCCCGTCCATAACAATTTTGGGTTGCCAAGTAGCTTATATAAAAGTGCTGCCATCTCGTTTAACTCTTTGAGAAACTGACTGTAGAATGCTGCTCTACTCAAGAACTATCACAGCTTCCCCTTTGAATTCGGTACTGGAATGGTTTAAACCGTCAGAATTTTTTCATGTAATGGTTTTATTTCACTGTTTCCAACTTTATGTCGTAGCAACGTGGCACTCTTTTTAACTACCTGAAATTTTTCCCTTTTGATCCGAAGTCCAAATTCATCAGTGAATCTTAAAACAGCTTCCGGGTGTTCTAGATGCCCTGCTTCTTCCGACTATACGCCACCAGGTCATCACCGTGCATCTCTGCGTTCTCCAAACTCTTCAGCAACAACATCATCAACCGTCCAAATAAACGGCGTGCCTGTCAGACCGAATGGCATTCGCTTGAATTGGTATTGCTTCTTGTCCACGATAAATACCGTTTCCTTTTTATCGCCTTCTTTTATTGGTAGCTACCAGTAGCCTGAGTAGAGGTCCAGAACTGCAAGTACTTTTGCATTCCGAAAACGATCCAGTGTTACAGCTACGGCTTCAGCTGCGTTATTCTGTTGAACTGTCGGGAATCAACGCACAATCTATGTTTCCCAACTGACTTTCCCACCAAAAGCACTGGCGAACTGTATGGGCATTCTCTGAACCTGGCGCCCAGCTTCTTCCAAGCGACATAGTGTTCGCTGTGTTATAAATGTTGTCATTGCTTGACTCGTACGCCGAACCTTGTCACAGTGTCCGTAGGGGTCTGGTCTCCATCACTTGTGAACACTGTCGTACTTCTCGACCAACTGCATGATACTTGGCGCTTCTGGGTGTGGTGCTCCCGATACCTTAATCTCTGCTACCTCGCTTTCTTCCTGCGTGGTGACTGACCAGCACTTGGTCAACACTATTCCTGATCTCGCGTTAATAATTGCCCCCACTTCTCTCGCGAAATCAGCACGCAGTATTGGCCGTTGTAGACGCGCGTTCACGATGAATGGAAATCTAATTTTACGACCCCCGATCTCGACAGTCTTATATTCTGAGACCGACTCTTATCTGCTAGCGAGACTGCCGCCCGTGCATCCACTCGATGCATGATCTCCTAATCAATTTCCCTCGTTCTAGCATACACTGCGCCTCCATCTATGGCTCTTACAATATCTAGTCTAGTCGGAAAAATGGGACTCATATTATATCGTCCAAAACATTTTCTTTTTCGCCTCTCGGAAAATTTCCTCGCCAGTGTGCAGGTTTTCAGCATGCGAAGCACTTACCCTGTCTGATGATGTTCACTCGAAGTGCAACCACCGCTTTCTGAAGGTCTTCGATTTATTTTTGCCAGTTACTTACCTCAGGCGACTCCGTTGCTGCTACTGCTGCACCCATCAGCTGTCTGGTCATCTTGGCCATCTCACCAACATCCGTGGGTTGGGCTGCGTTGACTGGGTCGTGGCTGCTGGGTGATGGCATACGAGATACTTTCGGTGAACTGCGCAGCCAGCAAGTGCCCCTGCGACCCCCCACCCAACGCGGCAAGTGCTCGTCGAAGTAGTTTAGTCAACTTCACAGCCAATACCAGTGGACCTTCGTCTATTCCAGTTTTCGCTCTCCGGAAGTGCTGCATCGCCAGCTGCCTGTTCGCCGGAATACCAAACTCCTCCAGTCGTTCGACCGTTCCTTGCCAAGTCTCCTTCCTATCTCCATGTTCCACGCGGTCATACGCTGCTTTCGTTCTACCCCTCAGCAACGTACCAAGTACCACCAACTTCGTTACTGGATCCCAGAGGCCCACCAGCTCCGCGACAGACTCGAAGCCCCTGAGAAAAACCTCAATGTCTCCGTCCTCGAACTCTGCAGGCCACGGAATCTTCTTCACGTCCAGAAGCAACAACATCAATTGAAAGAAGCAAAAGACAGGCATGAGGGAAGGAATGTTTACTGTCCACAAGTCGCTAAACGTGGTACACGTTGCACTTGGACCGTCATTTGCAAGATATACTTCATTTCCTCTTCTGCCTTTTCTTTGGTTTGCTCCTCATACGCCTGTCTTGTCTCTAGCGTTCCTCCTGACGGGACTCTTGCCCATTGCTGGTAATTCCGCACGATTTCTGCCGCTCTCTCAACATGTACTACTTATATCCATTCTTATCAGCAACACCCTCTAGACTACTCCAGAGGTCATGCTTTGAGATTGGAGCGCCAACTGGGATGTGCTTCTATCCACGTTAGCCCATTTTCATCTGAGATATATAAAATATTGTACTCTCTTCCCTAGGTTTACCCACCCCTTTCTCTTCATGCCTTCAAAAGGGGCTTGTATGCATACTTAAAGTCCTGTCGTGCGGACGGGCTGTAGTCGATAATTCTCCCGTTATCCCACAGACCACTGGTGGAAGCACCACCCACAGGGAGGTGATCAATGAGTAATTGGTTATTCCCGTCTACCGAGGCTCTTCGGAGCCGAGAAAACAACCGCGACCAATCCAAGCAAGAACATATTCAACAGAGGAGAATATAGAGCCTAAGGAACTTGTGTTAGTTGTTTCTACAACAAAAAGTTTGGAGCCGTTGAGCTGCATGCCCGAATGAGTGGCTGTGCCTTCTGAAGCAGAGGTTTCAAGCGAGTGCTGGAAGCCGATTTAGTGTCCTGCAGCGTAGACGAGTTGCTGTCAAGACCCTACCCATCATCCTGCGTAACATGGGTAGAAACAATATCTTGGGTGATTTTTAACAGTAGATATGGAACCCAAGGAGCAATCCTTTGTCAACTCTTCAATAAGCGAGAAAATGTACCCATATCTTCATGGATTTTTATCATAAAAATCTTGTTCATCTCACTCAATTCCACAACAGAAATCAGAAGTTAGTTCAGGAAAGCTTTCACTGGGTACCTATCATATAAAGCTCAAGAACGGAAACTAGTCCTCTAATACCAATCGACCACTTTTTAACATCCTATCTTCAGAGAATGAATATTAAATTACCCAACTGTATATTTGGTAGTGCGGATTCCGCAACCCAAGTAATATGGCGCGGCTTTTGTAGTTATTGGTAATGGGCAATTATTTAGGTTTCCGGGGCAGCCCGTCGCCTAAGGAAAGCAATAAGCATCCGTCTCCTTTAAATATTACTAAAAGACACTCGGAGGTTTTAAATGTTGATCCTCGATCCCCTAGTGAGGGGATAGTTAGGACTCCAATCCAAATAAATGACCCACGTTGGCCGTCTGCTGGAGTTATTCGAACTCCCATACAATTTTCCAGTAAGTTCCACAGTAAGAAGAGAAAAAACTTCCTTTACTTACCAGGTGTTGAGGATGCAAGCCTCTGTGATCTGAATAACTTTGGAACTTTTGATAGTGTTTTGACCGAGGATGACTCAATACATCGAGGTGACACAGTTGACAAAGCGTCTGCACTGTCAGATACTGAAGTCACGAACAATTTGAAAAACGGTGGTGAGTGAGATCCTGAGTTTATATTATGAACGAAGTAGTTTTATGTGTTCGACAGTGTGTCGTAATTTTTATTTAAGTGACGGACAAAATTGGCCCAAGCTAACCGTCCTGGGGTTAACCAGATGGAATTCCTAAACAAGTGCCTTGATTGGGGAAATTATGCACATCTTTAGGGAGTTAGTTGGATAAAGAGTGTAGTTCTACGTTTAGTTACTTTAACTTACCTTAATGCATATTAACAAACAGTTTCTCAGGCATCTCACTTCTACAGGATGTCTGAGTATCTTGGTTGTAAATTTCCTCCATACTTCAAAATTTCCGTTTCATTATTAGACATGATACGATTATTTGCGAACTTAGTGGTTTTAATTGTGTTGCTGAAAGTAGAGTCAGGTGATGCAATGCTATACCTACTGCTTCTAGGTTAGTCTCAATCCACTGTTTCATCTGGTTTTTACTTCTTGTCGTTTTTCAAGGTGATATTTATACCGGCTTTTAGATATGGCATCTATTTTAAAAGGTTTTCAGGGACTGACTGGCTCTAGTGTTTTTTCGTAGAAAGCTGCTAACTGCGTGCATCCTCAATGACGAAAGAAGTAAAGATGAATGAACTGAGCGCTAGTAAGTTATCTAACTGGATGCTTATGCTATGCGACAGTTTGACTTCCCGCTTAAAGAATCTTAGTTCGTGGACGATGTAGTTGTTGAACGAAAGTAGCTATTGCATCTTGGGGTTTACTATTAGCAATATCTTACATATGGATTGTATTTGTTGGACTGTTGGCCTATCTCAGTGTTATGTTATGGGTAACATTGTCTCTGGTTAGTTCTGGCAAATGCATAGTGAAGTCTTCGGAAATGAATTGGTAATCTTCACTTTTGGGATAGAATATTCTGCCTGCCATAACTTCCAGCTTTATTAAGTTACAGCGTTTTGTTGACTGGAAAGGGTGATAGTGAGGCATTTCTCACGAATAACCAGCGACACCATGTTCCTGCTGCTTTTCCAATGAGATGCGGTTCGAAAAGGCTGACCTCAGTAATAGCACACTGCATTTTACCCTGCGACTTTTCGGTGTCGGCGATATGCGTTTAGTGTATTCGGCATTAGAACAATCATACTTGTAACGAACAATCCCCCTGGAGGCTGTGTTTCCCAGGTCTCAAGCAGGTGTATCATCAGCCGTAAGGTGACGAATAACTGTTTTTTCTTCTTTGTATAGGATGTATTTTTACTTGTGTAGTCCCGGCGTAAACTTGAATATTAACCTGAAAGCTTAGTGTCAGTTTCATACTCTTGAAAAGGATCTTCCTAGCAGGATCGAAACGTTGAGGAATAATACAAAATATTTATCTATTTTGTTATTTGTTCTAATATACTATGCCGGGATTACACAAGTAAAAACACGTCCTATACAATGAATCATAATAACTCGGTGCCCAAGTTTTTTCAAACCATCCAGTCCATTGTTGGTCAGGATACCTTCAAACTTATTTTTTCTTCTCCCTCATTTATCCCACGGAAGCAACTTCAATGTTGTGGGCGACCGGGAAGTACCAACCACCCTCAAGCCCTCAGTAATATACAAACCCAATGAAACGCAGCATACCCCCCTTATCTCCGTCTCCTCCCTTGCCTCTTACAACTTCCTCAACCTCTTCCTGTGAAGCCGTTGCTGACGGCCAAAGCCGTTGAAACAGCATCCATAGTAATCTAAAACCCTACTGTCGATTTCACATTGAAGCTGTCAACACCCGAACCATTTACTGAATTGGACCAGGTATCTCTTGCTGAAACTCTGAAATCCCAAGCCATGAATGTATGCTGTTTCGGAGACACATACAAGACCCGAATATGTTTATTCATCACCTAGTCTTTGCAGTAAATCTTCAGAACTCACTTTACGGGGATTTAGTGGCTATTTCTCGTGGACTCGCTGGTGTAGGTCCAGCATTAAGTAACCGATCATGAAGCACACTTCTCTATTGGATATCAGTCTTCTGTGTCCTGTGCGACTGAATAGATCTGTTAGGACTGGGAAGAATCGTGAAACTTGTCGGTGTGCATTCATAATCTTTTTCTAAGCACCCACTGACTGCAGTTCGGTTGGTGTAAAGAATGAGTTCTATGAGAAGCTATCAGCCTTGGTACTGAAAGCAAAACGTCTGAAATGTGGTGACTTCAACGCTCAAGTAGGAAAACTGAATTAATTATTGGAAATGCATCTGACATCAAATTACAGAACCCTTATGCCGGTGAACTAACGACGGTGATCGTCTGTTGCAATTTCGTCCTGACTCACTTGTTTCTGGCCAGCAATAACTTCAGATATAAGGAGGGACACCACCTCACCTGGTCTCTTCCAAAATCAAACCAATGATGGACACAGAACATTTTACTATAGATCATTGTTGGAGATTGGTGGGAGACTACTGCTCTTTGTGGATTATCTGTTTGGACTCCTATCATTTTTTAGTACGGGTGCATATAGGCTTGGACCCTAATGGTCATAAGAAACAGACAACAAGGAATCCTGACTATACTTTATTGGAAGATGAGGACGTCGATTAAGTATTCAGGGAGGAGAAAGCTAACCACTTATCCGAACGTGACAACAGTCTTCATCCTGATGAAGCCTGCCTTGGTATTCAGTCTACTGTAGAAACAGCGATGAAGACAGTTGGTTATCTACATGTGAAGATTAGCAAAAAATATTGGATTTCCATAACATCATCCGTATTGATTGATGTCAGGAAACCAATTTCGGCCCGCTCTGGTCGCAATGAAAAGCGTAATCAGCTTGAAGGTAAATTGACTAACAGTCTTTGCAGTGGTCACGAGCAGTGGTGGACGGTGAAAGTTTGTGAGAGAGATAGAGAAGGCAGCAACATTGGGTAATATCCGGCAATTATTTAGGATTATGAGGGATACTGACAAGAAGGTAATGGTAAGTAAAACCATCACCAAAAAAGGGTGATATATACCCTTGTAACTTCCTACGACAGGCAACTACAGCTTTGGTATCAATCCTATTCCATCCACCTGTTCTTTGTGTACTACTTTGAAGTGTACCAACTTGATCTGATGAACTGCTGTGCGAGGTTTGCGTTAGTTTTGCTAGTCAGCCTTCAGCGGAACGCTTTGAAGCACAATTCAACTGGCCTACATTGTAGCTTCAGTTGCCCAATATCTAGCCGGAACCTAAGTGGAACTCAGAAAGATCTCGGTATCACACGTCTACTGGGAGATGAGAAGACTGTTTGAAACCTAAAACGATGCAAAGCAGCATTACCTGATGGTTTGCCACCAAAAGGTTTTACGTATAGAGATAGAAAATTCCTGATTAGAGCCACAGATATACCAGGTGGTGTAAGGGGATCAGAGGTAGTTCCGTCAAACTGATCAACTTCATTGATCATATCAGTTTATTGGAAGAGAAACAAGTCTTTTTGTGACAGCTATGGGGAAATCACTTCGACATCGTTTCCAAGATTCTTGGGTCTGCAGTTACCTCACGTCCAACTGGAGGTCGGGAAAAGCAAGCAGATTTCAGACATGCATTGATCAGATTTTAACCCTTTGACAGGTTATGGAGTGCAGGCATACTTACCGGCTACCGTCACTTACCATGTTTCTTGATTTGGATATGCTATTCTGCTCTATTGTGATATTATTTGAGTTATCGAGCAAATACGTAACGCTAATCAAAGCTCTCTACTTGAACTCACAGCCGCGTAAAAGCTTATTGAGATTTTCATCTGAATTGACGACAACCAGTGGTGTCCCACATCAATGTCTACTGTCACCGTTTCTTTTCGATTTCGTAAGAGATGTACTATTGCACATAACCTTTGATACATCTGACTTCACAGGTGTTGATCTCTCTTTGAAGGGCATGTTGTCCTGCTATGTGAAGTTGCTGACAAAATGCAATGTCTTCTGAACGTGCTGATCAGAAATCTGAGTGTACTTGGTATGTATTTCTCAGCTGTCAAGTGTAAGGTGATGCTCCAGGACTGATCTGCAACTCCTAGTTTAAGCAAAGGGAATGGGACTAGTGCATAAAGTTCCTGACTGTTGATCTGAGCCATATGGGGAGGTGTAGACTGCGTAGTTCCAGTGAAACGTATTAACTACTCCGAACGTCTGAACATTTTCACCCACCTTGGTTTTAAAATTCTATCCCCTCCCATACACCTTTGTCTACTTTTATATGACTATTTCTACCCACTTGTTTGTATGCTACTGCGAAGTGTGCAATTTGAACTGATGCATTTCTGTACGAGGTCCTACGTTGGTTTTGTGTGTCTGTCTGTCTATCTGTATTCATACAACGTATTGCGTTATACATGTTTTTCTCTTCAACTAGTTCCTTTTTACTTATCACTCTCGTGTCTTCCAGTTTATGTCCTGTGACAAAACTTGGTAGTCTGGTCCGTGGCAATTTTGTGCTTGCTTATATGTTTTGTCTATTTGTACACACTCTTCTGATTATATTCACTCATTATCGTAGTTCTGAACATCCTATTAGCTTCAACCATTCACCTAATCTGTTCCTCTATCGTTATTATTTCTTTCTATATCACTCTATTTGTTTTAAGTTTCTCAGTTTTTGACAAGTGTAGTAACTTTCACCGCTGTATTTTAGTTTTAAGTCCCACTTTTATTTGATTATTTATCTGCATCTTTCACGATTCTTCAGTTCAGGGTAACCAAAAAAGTAGTTCCTTTATTAGGCTTATTCTGAGTGCAATTTAGACCATTCAATTAGTATTGGTATTACGCCTTTCCAGTATTTTGTCGTCTGAAACTGACATTTAGTAGAGTGTATTATCAATATATACTTTTAGGGAATTTCTCTTAAGCTTTTTGGTTTTATTTTGATTCAGACTTCAGTTTCAGAGCAGAATAAAACCTTTGTAGCTTTCATGCAGCTTATAGAAGTCCATCTGGGACTCGGCAAGTGCTTTCATCCATATTTCTTTTTTATTAACCATCGCCAAGTCATGAGTTTTGTTTTTTTTTATTTTCAAAGCTCTTAAAAGTAATTCAAACCGTAGAGTCAGACTTTCTTGGTTAGAGAAACGTATCAAGCACAAATCTCTGAATGATTCACCTGGTCTGTTTGTCCGGTTTCGACATAAACAAAACTACGAAAAGTGCAAAACGCAGAAATTCAACATTTGCGGAGATAGTGTAAGCCATTCAACTGATAGTGCTCAATGAGAAGAAATCTGTCTTTTGTCCTGACAAATTAGTATTCACACTTCCGTCTTTCTGAAACTATTTTTTCTGGACACCACTCATAGTTATAAAATGTATATAACTATACCTTATTCTGTTTATCACTTAGTGCTCTGCGAAGTTTTTATATCTTTTTACTGTTACATATCAGTTGCATTATTTTGATAGACCTTAATTGTTAACCAGTCTTGTAATTAACATTATTAATTCGTTTTCTGTGAGATTAAATGGGTGGTTTTAATTTCATTGCTATCTTACGGTGTAAATGTTTTTTCCTCTATCTAATTATAAAAAGTGTTTGTAAACGATATTTTCTAACCCAGTATCTGTTTATCGTAGTCACTTTCATAAAACTACTGTTTCGTCATCAAAACACCATTCTAGTCTTCTTTCTTGTAATGCCTACTCAGCTACAAAGATATCATTTTATGAGACTACGATAACAAAACAGTTTCGGAATGTGATGGTTTTTGTTCATAATATTACGGGGAAAATTGGGATCTATGAGTTGATAGGAATCAGTAGTTCTGAACACTGTGACAATAAAAACATGTATCTCAATGCTGCACGGGTTAAAATATTAGGCTGAGCTACACTTTATTGATTGAGAGTTTGTGGTATTGCCTAGTTTCCCAAGACCAGTTAGGCGGACTGCAGTTTGAACTTGATACTCATTTCTTGAAAGTCGAATGTTTAAGTCAGTGAACTGGATATGCGCATAGCTCAGATTTTACCACACGATGCACATCCATTCCACCTAAGCTGAAAACAGTTCGCTTTTTAGATTGGTCTAAGTTGATTCTTTTGTGATAGAAGAAACTCCCTGCTATTAATTTGTCCTACGAATCAAAACCAATTAAAAAAACATAAATGCATAATTCTAAAATAATCATCCTTTTCAGTTAAGTAGAAAATGTAATGTGGGTGGAATTTTCGAATTTAGGGGATATTATTACTATCACGATACTGAGTTGTGAAAAACGAACGATAATAATTAACGATTAGAAGCTGAGGGTTGAGAATATTCAGTTCGAGGGGTTTGCAGAGGGAAATCAGAACACTGGAAATTAATTACGTTTATAGTGTCTGGAACTGGAAATGTTTATTAGTAAAAACGGACCCTATTTTGAGTTTGCAGTAGCCTTGAGGGACAAGTAATTATTAGTACATATAAAAGAGAAGGAGCCAGTCAGAATCCTAGTGTGTTATATGAAATGTGACCCACGTGTGGCAAAAAGAGCGCTAAGAAAAAACAATTCAGAATGTACAAATGGTAAGCATGGAATATAAGGGATATATGCATCCCCAACGGTTACTTATGTGTCTAACTAATCATTGGTGTTCAGTGTTAGGGTGTTGTCGGCAAAAAGTAGAATTGGCTTTCTCCTTCTGGCACTAATCAGCAAGGCGTAGCTGCATTTCCGAGGAAAATAGTTTTCCTCTTGGTGATTCAGACTATCATCACTGTATCGAATTTAGAGGCTACCACTAGGTTGTTCGGACTTCAACTGACTCCCTATTTTACTAGATTGTGTGGAATAACCAGTCACTGGGTTACATTCGATGTAGTTGCAAGTAGTAAGTGTTTAGCACTATCTGAAGTCTTCTGATTGGGGAGATTCCGTTTGCTCGAAGCTGACTGATGCACCTTGCTGATAAATTTTTGCATGGACGAAACCTAGGTAGTTATTTTGTCACTTATATCAGGTTTCAATGGACTGGTTTAAAAATTATTTGATAAAATGGTAGATTTCACTTCCTTAGCTATGACTGTTTGCAATCTACTTATTAGACAACTGAAACCGATGGTTGGAAACGAAGCAATGTGGTTTATAGTGGGTTTCAATATCATAAGTGTGTCGTCTTACCTAAGTCTAATTATGTATCTTCACCCTCTTTATCATCTTCAGTTTCTGTTTTTCACTAGTAAGATATTTTCACTTATTAATTATTATGGTTTATCAAGGACCGTGTATACTATGTAACAGTGCTGTTTTTTCTAGTACATGATTATTATCGACGACTCAAAGGCAATTAATTTTTGAAAAATATCAGTAATCAATATTCGAAACTCTACTGGTGCCCAACGGAATGACTGCTAGAGAAGTGCCAATGTCTAAACCTCAAGAGTTTGAGTAAAGAAATGTAGTCAGTGTCGAATTCTTGCCTGCTGAAGTTGCTGAGAAGTAGACTATGGACTCCAGATTACCACATGTTTCATGTTTATGGAGTGAATTAAGAGTTGGTCATGAAAAGTCTCAGGGTAAATAAAGGAAGGTATTGAGTTGCTTCATTAAGTCATTGACTCTTAGTCTTGTTCATGTTGCAAAATGTTGTTTTCGTAACTGGAATCTGGGGTATGACCTGAAATCTAGTCATAGGAGTTCAAATCGGCGATATTAATCCAATATGTTTACAGTTTAGTTTAGAGATCTATAACATCTTATCAATGTACCCATTTTCTGCTTGCTTAAGTTGTTACAACCCTTTACCAATCAGATGACTGGAACATGCAAAGTATTATTCAACCACTTAATCTGAGTATCATAATTGATCTAACTTCAAAGTTTCAACTATGGTATTAATGAGTGGAAAGCTATAGTAATGTTAAAACACTATTTTGAGGTATGTCTATGCAGTTGATGAACTGTGGATTTAGTGACTAGTACATTGATAACATCAAGATTTTACGTATATCGCGAGTATTGTAATGTGTGTCTATCGGCAAATTATATATGACATCGATCAACAGTTCAAACACGATATGTTTATGAGAACCTCTATAATTTCTATACGTATCAAATAGATTTTTTTGTAATATAGATAAAATATCATTTTCATCCTATATGGATGGGAGACTTTATTGGCTACATTTTCTCAAGCATCTCAATAGGTAATTAAAGCACTCTAAACGTCACATTGAAAACTAAACTGAAATTTAAGTTAGATCTTAACTGTTACTTCATTTTGATGGAGTAAATATTTTTTGTCATTATCCACCTATAAATTCTTAGATGTAAAACACAGAAAAAGTGGAGTATAGCTTATTCAGTCAGAACGTTTTACTTATATTGAAGTCGTAAGACAACTGGATTTGAAATCAATCCTTTGGTATCTTTCATTCTACTAGTGTAATTCTGCTATAGTGAGAATTTATGACATTAGATAACAGTACCCTACAAGGCAGTTTTCGAGATTTCAAGCACCATAGGCTAATAATCATTTACCGTGTTAGAGTGTAGGTCAGGAGGAAACCAATGGGATACGAGAAGTACCATATGCTACGGGAAAACATGGTAACAATGGAAACTACATAGAATAGTTGTACAGTGCATACACAGATGAAACCATAAGAGTCAGACGACTGCATTTGTATAGTAAGTCGCGATATAACTTTTTTAGATTATTGAAGCTGAGTGGGAATGGAGAACGTTTGAAATACTAAACGTAAAAAAAGAAATTTGCAACTATAACCCAAACAGTAGATGCCCAGGAGTTACTTATTTTTTGTGAATATATGTACTCAGCACGCTAACTTGACAAAAGAATTACTGTACAATAAACGAAGATCTGAAAATATCTCCAAAATTTTGTTTGGATAGTAAACCAAAGTAAGACGTGAAAAGGATTGAGAGTCTTATTTACAGAAACTGCTGTGACGAAAAAATATGATAAAGTCATGCTAAAACAGTGAGTTGCAACAAGATAAAAAGTGTTTGTTCTACAGTTATTGAAGATTGCGATCCTAATTCAACCTTCTATGTACATCAGATGTCAGTCGTGCTGTGTTTTCTTCACCTTTCGCCAAGTATTGGTGCGTTTAGGGCATTTGTATTGCTTGAAATGACGCGCACCATCTATGTGTGTTAAATCCGATTCATACCTATTTTATTTTGCCTTTCTGACCTATCTGTTAAGATCAAGTTATTACTTTTTCACTACTCCAAGGAACTTATCACAAAGTAGCTGTGGTAGTTTGTCAAGTCAGATGACTTGAGTTCAGTCAACTTTATCTAAAATATACATAAAGTTCTCAGTAACTTTGGAAAAGTTGTAAACTTTCAAGTGGACACCAACTTTGTGGGCACCGATAAAAAAGATTCCTCCTAAGTGATAATAAGTATAATGCCCAGAAATTCCCTGAGCCGTGTAACGATTATAAGAAGCTTAGCAAATTTACGTTTCACTCACAAGTGGATCAGTCTACAGAAAACCTCCGTGAAGTGGTAGTTCACAGACTTCCATATATTTGTTGCATATCTTTAGATGAATTCTCATTCACTCTTTAAATTCATGTTATCAAAATTTTTATCTTTTGGTTGCTTACATTCTGCAGTAAAATATCTGAATTTATTATTTTCAGTAACTGAATAACTTTGATACTTTATTCAGCGAAACATGAAGCAGAAACTAAGCTTCAAGAACTTTTACGTAAAGAAATTAGTACCGAAACAGTAGTTTCAGAAGTCAATGTTAATGATTCTTAATGAGGCAAATTTTCAAAATACTTGGCACTGTCTCTCATTTATCTAGTCACCGTATTATTTATATTTACGCAGAGACAAAATAGCCATATTTCATCAATTCATCTGCACCTGTAGAGTCAGATGTCTAGGTAGTCATTCAGAAATTATCATTCACCATTTCGAAAGTATCTAGCTTAAAATAGCTTCTCAAACGACAACACACGTTAGTCACACTATCTATTTTGTAAAATGCGGTATATCACGCCTCAGATTGATTAGTTGATTTTACGTGTGAAATCCAACAGAATATTGCTAATGGCTTAATAAACAATAAATAATAAAAATAACCTCGCCTAATTAACTAGTTCACTAGTTACTAGCCGGTCCTAAGCTCACAGAAAGAGGAAAGGTTGAACATAGGGCTAGCAACCCTACACAATAAGACCAATCCAATCGCTAAAAAGACTCGAAGGCACGAAGAAAATATAGAAATTAAAATCTAACTTATTCCTCGCT